AATTTAAGATTTCCCCATGTCTCTTCATGCTATGACAGTTCATTTATATTTGATACTGAACAACATTCAATTGTCTGGATATACCACAGCTTAATTTACCCATTCTACTGAAGGACATTTGGTTACAAGTTTTAGCAATTATTAATAAAACTGCTATACTGTTCACCTGCAGGGTTTTGTGTGGACAAATTTGTTTACCTCTTTTGAGTAAATACTGAGGAACAAAATTAAATATGTTTAGTTTTGTAAACTGTCTTCCAAAGTGGCTGTATTATTTTGCATTCCAATAAACTGTGAATGAGATTTCCTGTTGCTTCAGATTATTGTTAGTAGTTTGAATTTTGGTCATTCTAACAGGTGTGTAGTGGTATGACATTGTTGTTTTAATTTGCACTTCCCCAAAAACATATTATGTGCGACCTCTTCTGTATGCTTATTTGCTATCTGTATATCTTTAGTGAGGTGTCTGTTAAGGTCTTTGACTCTATTTTCAATCAGACTATTTTCTTAATATTGAGTTTTGAGAGTTTGTGTATATTTTGGATAACAATCTTTTATCAGATGTGTCTTTTGCTAATACTTTTATCCCCATTGTTGGCTTGTTTTCTCATTCTCTTTACTTTGTTTTGTGAAGAAGAAAGTTTTCAGTTTTAATGAAATCTAGCTGATCGATTATTTCCTTCATGGATTGTACCTTTAGAGTTTTATCTAAAAACTTACTGCAATACCCAAGCTCATCTCAAGTTTCTCCCATGTTACGTTTTAAGAGTTTTATAGTTTTAAATTTTATATTTAGATCTATCATTTATTTTGAGTTAATTTTTTGAAGGGTATAAGGTCTATTCTAGATTCTTTTTCTATTTTTTTTTACATTGCATATTCAGTCATTCCAGCACCATTTGTTGAACAGACTATCTTTGCTCCATTTTATTGCCTTTGTTCCTTTGTCAAAGATTGGCAGACTTTCTTTATTTTGAAGTCTTTTGTATCTGAAGTCAATGTAGCTACTACTGCTTTCTTTTGATTAGTGTCAGCATGTATATTTTTTGCCAACCGTTTACATTTAATTTTTGTCTTTATATTTAAAGAGGGTTTCTTGTAGGCAACATATAATTGGGTCCTGTTTTTATTGATCTAATGTGACAACTTCTGTCTTTTAATTGGTACTTTTAGACTATTGATTTCAAAGTGATTATTGATATTGTTGGATTAATATCTACCATATTTATAACTGCTTTTCATGTATTGCCCTTATTCTATGTTCTTGTATTTGCCCTTCTTTTATTTTTCTTCCTTCTGTGGTTTTTAATTGAGCTTTTCGTATAAGTTTTTTCTCTCCTTTAATATCATCAGTCATACATTAAAAAAAAAAAAAAACTCTTTTCACTAGTTTCCTCAGAGTTTCCAATATGCATTTACAGCTAATTCAAACTCACTTTCAAGTAACAAAATACGACTTCAGGGATAGTGTGAGTACAGTGAGTCCTCAATATTGTCAATAGGTTATTGAAAGCTGTAACTTTAAGTGAAACAATGTAAAAAGCAGGTCCTCAAATAGTACAGTTTCCTTCAACATCTGTTTGTTATAACATTAATGGGGAAAAATTGTTCCATTATATGTCATTTTATTAAAACTAATATTCTCTAATAACCTATCAATGACATGAAGTGAAGACTTACTAAACATTGTATTATAATAACAATACAATCCTAATTTTTCATACTCTCCCATGTATTATTGTTTTCATTCACTTCATTTATATATAAGTGTGCATAAGCTGAGATATATACATATATATATTTACCCACACAAAAGATAGATACATAAGTATACATAAAATATATTGTTGCTATTATTATTTGATTTGATTTCATTTCATTTGATTTTAGAGACAGGCTTGCACTGTGTCCCACAGATTGGAGTGCAGTAGCATGATTATGGTTCACTGCAGTCGCCAACTCCTGGCTACAGGTGTGAGCCACCATACCAGGCTAATTTTTGTTTTTTTCTTGGAGAGATGAGGGTCTCACTACATTGCTCAGGCTGTTCTCAAACTCCTGGCTTCAAGATATCCTCCCTCCTCAACCTCCAAAGTGCTTGGATTACAAGCATGAGCTACTGTGCCTGGCCCTATTATTATTATTATTATTCTTTATTTTAATTATTTTTATTATTATAACTTTAAGTTCAAGGGTAGCATGTGATAACCGTGCAAGATTTGTTAACTTCTGTATCACTTGTGGCCAATGTTGCACCTAGTGCTGCACCACATCAACTCCGTCAGCCGCCACTCAACTCGCCATTTACATCAGGTATCATAACTCCCAATGCATATCCCTCCCCCCCCCCCCCCCATGGATGAACGCCCGGTTGCGTGATGTTTCCCTTTCCCGAGTCCGAAGTGATCTCATTGTTCAGTTCCACGCTATGAGTGAGAACATGCGGCTGTTTGTTTTCAGTTCCTTGTTGAAAGTATTGCTAAGAATGATGGGTTCCTGCATCCATCAAGTCCCTACAAAGGACACAAAACTCATCCTTATTTTATGTGCTGCATAGTCATTCCAATTGGTGTTAGTGTCGCCACATTTTCTTAATCGCAGCCTCTGTTCACTGAATGGACATTTGGGCTTCATCTCCAAGTCTCTTTGCCTATTGGTGATAATAGTACCGCCATAAACATACGTGTGCATGTTGTCTTTATAAGCAGCATGATTTATAAATCCTTATTGGGATAACTAACCGCAAGTAAATAGGGGAATGGACTTGGGATCATATTGGTACAATTCAAGTATCTAGATCCTTGAGGAATACGCCATAAAAGGAATCTAGATTTTCCATAATAGGTATTCGAACTAGTTCTACATCCCATTAAGTAACCACAGTGATTAATAAGTGTATCTACTATATCTGCACCAAACAACATCCTTACTTCTTCACAGCCAACCTGTTGTTTCACTGACATATTTTAATGAATCAGCCAATTCTACTACTGGTGTGAGATGGTTATCTATCATTAGTGGTATTTGATATATGCATTTCCTGATGGCCAGTGATGGATCACATTTTTCATGTGTCTGTTGGAGCTCGCGTCATGAATGTTTTTCTTTCTTTTGAGAAATGTCTGGTTCGTACCTTCCGGCCCTTTTTTGAATGGCCCGTTGGTTTTGTTTTTTTTCCCCTTGGTAAAATTTGTTGTTTGAGTCTTTGTAGTATTCTGATAACTTAGCTCCTTTGTCAGAATGAGTACGGAACTTCGCAAAAAAATTTTCTCCCCATTCTGTAGGTTGCCTGTTCACCATCGGATGGTAATTTCTTTTGCTGTGCCAGAAGCTCTTTTAGTTTAACACACATCTTCAATTGTCAATTTTGGCTTTTGCTGCATTGCCTTTTGGTGTTTTTTGACATGAGTCTTTGCCATGCCTATGTCTTGAATGGTACTAAACCATAGGTTCTACCAAGCCATAAGTAGAAAAGCTGAAAACTGATTCCCTTCCTTACCTCCTTATACGCGAAATTAATCAAGAGGGATAGAGACTTAAATGTTAGAACCTAATACATAAAACCCTATATTAATTTTAAACCAAGTGTTATCTGTTAGTTCAATTAAGAATAAGAAAAATAAAAGTTATTTAACCATCACTTATTCCTCTTCACTATTCTTTCTTTTTTATGAATTATGAGTAACAGACCTATATTATTTTCCTTCTCCCTAAAAAACTTCTTTTAATATTTAATGCAAGGGAGATTTGTTGGCAACAAATTGCGTCAATATTTGCTTGCCTAAGAAAGTAATTATTTCTTCTTTACTTTTAAAGCATCATTTTAGAGGAAACATAATTATATTTTGGTGGTTTTTTTTTCCTTTCAACACTTTAAGTATTTCATTCCACTCTATCATTGTTTGCATGCATTCTGAGAAGTCAGATTTAATTTTTCATTGCTCTCCTATAAGTACAGTGGTTTTTGTCCTCTATCTTCTTTCAGAATTTTTCTTTATCTTTGATTTTCAGCAGGTTGATAATAACATACCTACATGTAGTTTGTGTGTGTGTGTGTTGTTTGGTATTCATACAGCTTGGTATTCTCTGAATTTCCTAAATCTGTCTGGTATCAATTTTGGGGAAAATCTCAAGAAATGTTTCAAATATTTCTTCTACTCCATCTTCTTTCTCTTCTCCTTCTCTGATTTCCCTTTTGCTCAAATAGTATCTTTTAAAATTGTTCCACAATCCTTAGATGTTCTGTTTTGGTTTTGTAATCACCGTTCTTTTTGCTTTTCAGTTTGGATGTTTCTAACCCAAAGATTCTTTCCTCATATACGTTCCATCTACTAATTAGCCTATCGAAGACATTCTTCATTTATCTTACAATGTTTCTGATGTTTAGCATTTTTTTGGAATTCTATTCGTTCTTAGGATTACTGTTTTTCTGCTTACATTGCCTATCTCTTCTTACATGCTCCCTCTTTTATCCATCAGAGCACTTAGTGTATCAATCATTGTTTTAAATTTCGGGTCTAATAATTTTATCATATCTGCGATATCTGTTTCTTATGCTTGCTCTGTCCCTTCAAATTGTGTGGTTTCTTTTTGCCTTTTAGTATGCCTTGTAATTTTTTTTTTTTTTTTGATAGCCTAACGTGATGTACCAGGTAAAAGGTAAATAGGCTTTCAGTAATGTGGTGTAATGTGAGGAAGGAGGGGAGGCATTTGGGTCTCAGTCTTTTACTGACTCTATGCTTCTATATTTTGAACTTCACATGTGTTTCCCCACTTAGTTAGCTAGAATTGGCTGGAACTGGGTATTTCTCTTTCCCTATGCCAGTTAGGATCTGATAAAATCCTAGCACTAAAGGCTCTGGTTAAATAGTTTCTCTTGATGACACATCATATATATTAAGAACAGAGTGCTCTGGCATATTTTGAAATGGTTCTGCTTTCTATCTCCCAGGCAGGAGCATCGGAGAACTGTCCTCCAATATTTACTGTTAGAACCTGGCAGAAGCATGAGAAAACTGCTTTCCAGTATTTACTGTTAGAACCTGGTCAGGCTCCTGGAGATAAAACTCACAGAAGTGAAGCCCCTCCCCTGTGACTGAGTCCCCGTTTGGTTATTTTTAACTGTTGGACTCACCCACACTTAGCATATAGCAATGTGCCAGTTACAGTTCAGATTTTCCTATCCTAGCACTGGTTCTCACAGTGGTTTCTACTCATTAGTCTCTGCTCTGGTAAGATATGATTTACTGGATTTGTCTGTCTGTTTCTCTAAATTTGGGGGCAGTGGCTTGCTCTATGTCCTCACTTTTCTTAAAAATCCCAGAAGAGTTGTTAATTTTATTGGTCTTCTAGCTTTTTATTTGTTAGAAATGAATGGCAGTTTCCATTTTTCTCACATGTGGAACCCAAAACTGAAAGTGTATTATTCATTTTTAAATATGTATTTAGGTGTGAGCTTATCAAGCTTTTCATTTTCTGCCAGGAAAAAGAGAGACAGAGAGAGAGAGAGAGAGAGAGACAGAGTGACAGAGAGAGAAGGAAGGAAGGAAGGAAGGAAGGAAGGAAGGAAGGAAGGAAGGAAGGAAGGAAGGAAGGAAGGGAGGGAGGGAGGGAGGGAAGGAGGAAGGAAGGAAGGAAAAGAAAAAGAAAGAGAGAAGAAAGAAGGAAATAGAGGAGAAAGAGGAAGGGAGGGAGGAAGGAAGGGAAGAAGGAGAGGAAGAAAGAATGGAAAGAACAAAAAAAGGAAAAAGAAGAAAGGGAGAAGGAAGGAAAGATGGAAGAAAAGACAAAATAAGAAATCTTGCTTGGAGTATTTTTAGACTATTCATTAAGCCAAATAACAATTTATAGTAATAATTTGTCCTACTTGGCATATCTCTACATTTGCTTAGAATCAGTAATGCTTATTTTTGAAAAATCATGTCATGTCTTTTCAAAACTTATTCCTTGTTGACTCATGTATTATATGACTTATATTGTATATATTATATTATATATATGTTTGTTATTGCAAATGGTAACTTTTTGAAACTAACTTATTTTCTACCTGCTTAATAAATAAAATACAAATAATTCATAAATTTGTTTATATCAAAATTATTTAAGATAATTTATATTTAAAATAATTGACATTCTAATCTTTTCTCTCAATTTTAATTTGGACATATACATCATAATGACCACTGGTTAAAGCACTTTTCCAAACCATATTTTTTTTAACTTTCTTACTGTAATAAATAATAGTTACAGTGAGAGAGCTAAGCAAAGTGGTATTAGGGTTATCTTGTTCTTGTTCTTATTTTCAATAGAAATTACTTCATTAATATTTTTTAAAATACTGTATATTTGCTATAAGTGTTTAATAGTCCTTCTCATATTAAGCAAGTTCTCTTCCACTTCTAGTTTGCTAATAAATATTTTTAACAACATGAATATGTGTTGGATTTCATTGAATACATCCATTAGTTGTAACTGCCAATATAAATATATGGTTTTCTTTTAATATTTTATGCTTTAATTACATAATCAGTTATTCAATGTTAATTCAACCTTATGTTCCTGAGGTACTCTCAATCACAATATAATGCAAATTGTTGGGGTTTGCTAATATTTTAATATTGATTTTTACATTTATATTTATGAATAAAATCACTCTGATATTTTCCTTACTTAAATGGTCTCTGTGACATTTTGTAACCAATTTCATACCAACTTCATGAGAAAAACTAGAAGTACTTCCATTTTTTCTGTCTACTGCAATAATATTTTCAAGATTAGAACCATTTCTGAATATGTGGTAGACTTTGTTAAAGTATTATGGACCTAAAGTCTCTTCTGTGAAAATAATTTTAACAAATGATTTTATTTATTTATAATTATAAACCTGACCATGTTTTGTATTTCCTTTTGAATCAGCTTCGCTAACATAATTTTTTGTGATATATGTATTTGTTTGAGTTTGTCATTTTCTTCACATAAAATTTATGCTGTTCTCATTGTAATTCTAGCTATATCAATGTTATGCCCCCTAATTCATCACTGATATTATTTCTTTGTGCTTTCTTTCTTTTCATCTTGAGAAAGCATTCCAAGAGTTTCAGTTTGCTTTCAAAAAAGCAACTAATTGATTTGTTGATCCTTGTTATCACATTTTTGCTGTTTTACTTCATTCTGCTATTAAGTATTTCATTACTTCCACTGTGATGAATTTATTTTGAAGTTCACTTTGTAAATGCTTAAGTTTTATACATAGTTAATTACTTTTTAGTCTTTCTTTCCAAAAAAATCTACATTGAAAAATGACAGTCTTCTAATTATTCATTTAGCTACCTCCCATAATTTTGTTGTGTAATATTTTAATTATTTAGTTCTACTTTATTATTTCTTAAGTGACATTGAGTTATTTTTGTGTGTATTAAATTTTCAGGCATTTTCTTATATCTTATATGGTTATCTTTTAGCGATTATTTTCTAAATTAATTACATTGCAGTTAGAGATGGTAGCCTGTATTATACAGATATTTTAAAGCTTATGCAGATTTTCTTTTCTGCCCAGAACAGTTAAGTTTTTACATATATTCTGTTTGTATCTTAAAATAATATGTATTTTCAAATTGAAGAATATAAGATCAATATTTGTCCATCAGAGTGAGCACATTATGCTTTTCCTAAATTTTACCTATTTCTGTTGAGTTTAGTAGGCTGCATTATACACCAATTGAAGATAAAATTTGGATAAAATATCCCTATATGGTGGTGGATTTGTCAATTTTTTTTGTCATGGGTATTTAGAAACTGTTCATAGTTTCATTCAAGTTTGGAATTATATCTTTCTAGTAAATTAAAACATTTATTGTTATGCAATGATCACCTTATCTCCAATAGATTTTGTATTATAATGTGTTTTTTTTCCTATGCCAATGTAGCTATGCAGTTTTTTTTTTCTTTTATTTCTAATTTACATTGCATGTCTTTAAAAATCCTTTTGTCATATTCTAGTCGTTGGGTACAGAGTTCTGTTAATTAGATCAAACTTATTACTGATGACATTCAAATATTCTATATCTTTACTCATTTTTATCTGCTTGATATAGCTGTTACTGAAAATTTATTACATTTTATATTATAAAACTTTGATCTACATGCCCTATGTTTTAGTCCTTTCTCATACCACTGATAAAGACATACCCAAGAATGGGTAATTTGTAAAGGAAAGAGGTTTAATTGATTCCCAGATCAGCATGACTGGGGAGGCCTTAGGAAAGTTACAATCATGGCAGAAGGGGAAGCAAACACATCTTTAATCACCAGAAGGCAGGAAGGAGAAGAATGAGAGCTGAGTGAACGGGAAAGCCCCTTGTAAAACAATCAGATCTTGCAAGAACTTACTCACTATCATGAGAATACCGAGGGAGAAACTGCTCCCATGGTTCAGTTATCTCCCATCAGGTGCCTCCCACTGCACATGGGGATTATGAAAAATACATTCAAGATGAGATTTTGGTGGAGACACTGCCAAACCATATCACCCTGTTTAATTCCCTTTTCTTGAATATAACCAGCGAATATGATGGGCTATCCCTTCTGTAATTAGATTACTAATCAGTTGATTATTAGTTAATCAAAAGAGAGATTGTCCTGTTTGGTCTTAGTCTAGCCATTTATGGAAAAATGGAACCTCAAGGAGATGCTTTCCTGATGGCCTTGATGGTTAATCTTTATGAGTTCTATAGCTACAAGAAAATAAATTCTTCCAATAACTGCATTATCTTGGAAGAGGACACCAAGTCTCAGATGAACCCCTGGCTTCAGATGTCACCTAGATTTTAGTCTTTTGAAATCCTCAGCAGAAATCCTTGAGGCCTGTTTGGAGTTTGGACTTCTGGCACTCACGAACTATGAGATCATGAATCTGCGTTATTTTAAGCTGCTAACTTTGTGATGAGTAGTTATGCAGCAATTGAAATCTAATACAGCCTTTAAAAACATCTATTTTGGATCCATTTATTATATGTGTATATTCTTGAAAAGTACATGTCATTTTATATTTATATATTTTGAGTATATAAGTTATATGCTATATATTTCATTGTAATGTTACAACTCTTTACACAATTTTTCTGTGAATTATTCAAATAGTGTTTACATTTAGCCCATTGCTTTTCATCACTGTCTGGTATTCCCTGGTGTTCATCCGCCATGCTTTTATGACAGTTCCCCAGTAATAGCCCTCAAAATTGCCTCCAACTTCCTGTCACAGAAAGAAGTGCAGCAATTATCATCACTTTTGAACTTGTGGGCACTGTCTGTGGGATATATACTCAGGAGTACAATTGCTGATTCTCATAGAATGTGTAGGCTTAATGTCACCAAGTATTTTGAGACTGCTCCCAGAATTGCTGCATATTTTATACTAGCATGGGTACACATGAACATATCCGTACTCCTATTCCCTCTACAACAATTTATGCTGTTTAACTTTCTAATTTTTGCTGATTTGATGGGTATGGATTTTTTCCCATTAAAACAATTTTCCCATTGTTTTACTTTTTTTCCTTTAGAAATTAGTTTTGAGTATTTTTCATATCATTATTAGTTATTTAGGTTATTTCTCCTGTAATTAGGACTTTTCTGAAATTAATAATTTTTTATGTTTACTAGTAAAATAGGAGACTATATTATGCAATCACATTAATTTTCATCCTATTTTTCCATCACTTTAATATTGTCTGTAACTTTAGGGCTATGTTGTTATGAATATGTCTTTACTTTTTCTGTTGTAATATTTCTAAGTTTGTCCATGAGAAACAATCATAAATATGTTGACATTTTCAGGAAATGTGTATGACATTTGCAGTTTTTTTAAGTACTGTACTTAAATATACACTTACACAACTTCCAGCTTCACCATAGATCTTTGCTTGTGCAAATACCAAAGATATATTTCACTTTTTAAAAAATATTAAATTCAGTTGAATGGTTAGTATAAGAAATAAGTGGCCTAATAAAATACCTAAAAGAATACTCCCTTCTTAGAACAAAGGTTACCTAATATGAGTGGGCAGTTGTTTTTGTAGGAAGATAGGATTTCACGTGAAGAAATACCAAAAAAGAAAATGTATTAGACTGAAAATATCACTGATTCTTATAGGTCATTGATCTTGGAGTGATTTTTTGGTTTTATTAAGGAATAATCAAGAAGTAAATATTGTATACATTTAAGGTATAAAAT